GGGGTGGGGTGGGGTGCATGTGGAGTGTGCAGGCCTTCCCTTCTGCATTCCCCAAGGTGGGAAATGACACCTCGCAGTTGGATGACCCCCGCACCCCCTCTCTTCCCATGTCCAATCTATCACCGGGTGTAGATGCTCCATGCCTGCTGCCCCGGCCAAGGCTTCATCACCTCTCCTCTCTCCCCACCTCTCTGCGGCTCCCCTTCCACACATTCTCCACGGGAGAGTTTCCTCATTAACCCAGGAGGGTTGCTCTCAGTTGCCAAGTGAAGGCTCCCTGTTGCCAAGTGCAGCAAATGCACACTCCTTCATGGGCACAGGACGCTCTTCTTAATGTGCTCCTTGGCTGCACTGGAGCAATTGTGACAATAAAAATGACAACAATAATGACAGCCCAGCAGCAGCAGTAATCATAACACGCCACCTCATCAATAAGAGCTGTCGCTTTTTTGAGGAGTTACTAGGGCCAGGCACCTCGCTAACCCTTGGCCATGCTCTCCCTCGTTTCATCCTCAGAACAACATTTCAAGGGCTCAATAGCCGCTGCTGCTGCTGCTGCTGCTGCTGCTGCCACACCGGACATTGCAGATACACAGCACATCCCATCACCATGGGCAATTCTGTTACACAGCGCTGAGCCCCAGCCTCAGTTTCCTGAGCTGTGAAATGGGGGCAATATTTCAGAGGGTTGTTGTGAGAATTAGCCCACACTTCACATAAGTGAAGTGGCCTGACAGAGGAATGAACATTGTGACACATTTTAATAATAATGATATTTAATATTCATCCCGTATCAAGTGATGCTCACGGGGTTTTATGTGAATTCATTTAATCCTCATAACAACCTTTTACAGATGAGGAAAGCGAGGCACCCTGGAGGGACAAGAGGAAAAGCCTAGAGGACACACAGGAGGCCACTGGGCTGAAGGCTGAGGGTGGGGACGTGCCCCTGGGGCTTAGGGGCAGGGCAGTGGCCAGTGTCTGCTCACCTCTTCCTGCCCTCGCAGGGAGATGGAGAGGTTCTCAGCAACCCAGGCTTCCAGCAGCCTGCCCTCCCGCCTGCTCAGAAACTTGGGCCAGGGCACAGGAAGGCTTCAGTGTGTCCATCCATTAAGTTGGCGTGCACATATGGAGCACCTTCTGCATGCCAGCATGGGGAAAGATGCTGGGATACAACAATGACCAAGAGACATGGGCTCTGCCCTTGTGCAGCTCAGAGCCCGGGTAGGGGGGACCAACATCAAAAGATCACACTAGTGGCTAAAATGACAAAGAAAAGGGGTGGCCAGGAGAAAAGGACATGTATATAACAGCATGGCTCTCGGGCTCTTGTCTACTGGGGATAGCCAGTGCACGTGGGAAAGTGTGGCAGGGATCAGCACAGGGTGTGCAAGGAACCAAAAAGCCGCTTGGCTGGAGCTCAGGGACCCAGGAAGCACGGAGGGCTCATCAGGGGCCAGGCCTCCCGGGCCTTGCAGGAAGACACCAGAGCGCTTTGAGTTACACCAGTAGTTTTTCAGCTTGAGCATCCGTGTGGCTGCTGCATGGAGAACGAATCACGGCAGGGCCACCTAAACGCTGGAGACCAGTCGGGCTGGTGCAGCATCCAGGCAAGAGATGACGGCGGCAGCCCCTCCCCAGCCAGGGGGGCCGAACCCATCACACTTCCCTAGAAAGGATGTTTCTTGGCTATAGCTCAGGACTATGTGACCTCAAGCAGGTCACAGAACCCCTCTGTCAATCACCTTTGTCAACAGGGTAGATGGATGCCGTGGTGGGTGTGAACAAATGTGCTTCATAAACCATCAAGCTACAAACAAATTTGCTTTGTTTGCCAAACCCTTTGCTGGGAAGCGAGGATGCAGTGGACAAAGGCTGCCTGTCCTCCGAGGCTGTGTAGCCGCGTGAGTGTGCACAGGGGCTCTGTGGGCGTGTTTGTAACAGACACACACAAGCAGACAAGAGCCTTTCAAACGGGGCAGCTGCGGCTCCCCTTCCCTCCCTCCTCCCTGAGGGTTCTGGGCAGGAAAAAGCAGGGAGATGGGGCACCTGTCCAGGTGGGGAGCAGGGAACGGGGACCCCTGCCAGCCCGGCCTTACCTGGTGCAGGGCCGTGAGCCCATCCTCGTTGCACAAATCGGGGCTGACCTTATTCTTCAGAAAGTAGCGAACTGCAAGAGAGGGGAGAGGCGTGAGTGGCCACCACACACCAGGTGTGCAGGTACACAGGGGCCCCAGGCAAGACCCACTCTCCCCACGTCCTGACACAAAGGTTCTTGCTTTTTTATACTGCCTTGAGGAATCATAAATGGACATTAGTCCCATCGCCAACTGCAAAGCCCTTCCATGGCTCCTCATGGCTCTAGGAATAAAGTTGAAAACCCTTATTATGAGTTTATCCCTGCCTGCAGGCCTCCATTCTGCACAGTGCCAGCAGGCACCACTCACACCGTGGTCCGCAAGACTGACACCCCTGGAGCAGTACAGTGCTCAGCCTGCTCAGTTGTACACAGTGCTCCTACCTACCCACCTCTCCAGTCTCATTTCTTAAATTCCAAACACCTTCCACAATGGTCTTTTGTCAGCTACAGGGTCACCAGACGTCCTTTGGCCTCTGAGCTTTTGCATAGCCTGTTCCCACTGCCTGGAAGACTCAAGCATCCGTCCATTCATCTACCCATCCACCACCCATCCACCCACTGTCATCCGTGCATCCATTTTTTAGCACGTGCAGGCGCACACGGACACACACACATGCACACACCCACCTCAGTCCATCCTTTAGGTCTCAGCTCAGACTCCCCCTGTTATATGCACCCACCACTCCTATGTATCTCATTTGTAGCCTTATCACAACTACAGTCACATAACTATCTGGGTGATTATGGGCTTTGATTCTGTCCGCCATAGGACACTAAGCCCCAAGAGGGCAGGACAGTGACGGCACTTACTGCTTTTCCCTAAGGCCTGGTACACAGTAAGTCCTAAACAACCCTTCCAGGGCCCTGACCTAATCAGCAGCCCCCTAGCTCAGTCCAAGGACATGGCCTCTCCATCTCTGAGCCAAGCAGGCCACCTTCTGGTGCTGACCCCAGATGGCTCTTGTTTGTAATAAGCAGCATGGCCCATGGGTCCCTCCTGCAGAGTCGTGGATAACCTGGTAGCTGGTCCCAGCATAAGGGCCATGAGAGGAGATTATGGCAAAGCCAGTGATCACCAAGGCCCAGCCTATCCATGGGCCAGTTAGAGTACCCTGGGCCTGGCAATGGCCTTTGGAGAGTAGAGGTAGCTATATGTCCCTGTCCAGGAAGGTCCTATTCCCACGGAGCAATGGGGGTGGGCGGTGGACCAGGCTTCCTGTCCAGGAGACACTCTTTGAAGGAGAAATTAAGGTTCAGATGCCAAAAGCAGCCTGTGCACAGCAATTATTGGGGTGTTCTCCATGCTGTGTGGGAGCCCAAGACATGTAATTACTCCAACGTCAGGCAGCTATTTTCAGCCCAAGAGGTGGGACTACTCCCTCCATCTCTAAGGAGCCCTTACTACTTGTGAGCCAAGGTCCCCTCAGTGGTTCTACTTCTGCTCTAGCTCAGAGCCTGGCTCTGGACACAGCTTCCTGGAACAAAGACCCCACCACCCAGGGCGTGACCAGGCTCTCCTGCCTCTGGGGTTTAGGGAGAAAAAGGATTCTTCTATCAACAGTGTCGTCTTCCTGAGCCCTTCCTGTGCACCAGGTCAATGCAGAGCCACTCTTTCACGGATTCATGCCTGTAACGTTCCCCTTATGGAGAAGAGGAGGAGGCAGAGGGTCAGGGAAGCGCAGCTCACAGTCACACGGGGCCAAAGGGAGGAAACCAAACCCTCTGATTTCAAAGCCCAGGCTGGTGAGTACAGGGCTGCCCCACTCCGCCCCTGAGGCCAGGAGTAGGAACCAGCGCTGCTGGAGCCCTGCTGAGCGGCCAGGCCTGTGCTGGCAGCTGGCGTGGGGAGGAGCGTGGCTGGAGAATTGACAGCAGTGACCTCTCCTTCTTAAGCATCAGAGGCCCTCGGGTCCTAGGCCAAGCCTCTTCTTGCTGATAGAAGGGCTCAGGGATCCAGAAACAGGACAGAAAACATTGCCCTGGGGGTGGGGCACAGGCAGATCTTTCAGGGCCATATTAAGCGTAAATTTGCTTCCTTGCACTCTGCTTAAAACCCTCCTGTGGCTCCACACTGCTCTTAGAATGAAGTTCAGAATCCTTCTGTGGCCTTCGCTGGGGCCGTCAAACAATGGCCCATGCAGCAAACCTGGCAGGCAGCCTGACTCTGTATTTAATTTTATTGGGACACATCTGCACGCACTCATTTACGTATCGCCTGTGCCTGCTTTCACCCCAGGACAGCAGAGTTGAGTGGCAACAGAGACCTATGGCCCACACAGTCTAAAATATTTACTCTCTGGCCCCTTACAGAAAAGGTCTGCAGACCCCGGTCTTCTAGGTCCTGCCTGGTGGGTCCTGCCCACAGGGCTACCCTTGCATAACTCCCGGGAATTATGCAATCCTCCTGTGAGCGGCTTGCTCCGAGCTGTGCAGTGCGCAGCCTGCTCTGCCAGACCCAGCAAGCCTGTCTTCCTGCCTCTCCCGGTTCATCTCTGGCTCTCTGAGCACCTTACACAATGGACGAAGCTGGCTTGGCAGGGTAACGGGTCTCCGAGGCTCAGGGAACACAAAGAGGAGGCATGCTGTGCCCGCCGGCTCGTCACCACCCCCTCTCACTGTCCACACTCAGGTCTGCCCCCTGCCCCCAAAG